CAATTTCACCCGAAGATATCCTGGCAGTGACAGTTCGTTCTACTCTGAACCAAATCGAGAACACCCACCAGTCTCTCTCGGAAAAAATGAAAAGGAACAAATTTCGTCCGGAGAAGAATGAAATGTTCTTCTAAGTCAACCATTCTACACTACATGATCAACAAAAAGATAGACGCTTACCTACCAACATCGCAAATCGTCAAAGCTAGTCTAGCTCTTATAGAGGAGATGTGTCTATGGGAGAAACCAAAAGGTGGACGTAAACCTCTCGCCAAACAGGAAGCGAACATCAACATGAACACCCCACAACTAGCCCCGTCGTGCTGCCGAGGGACACCTTTCACGCTGACCTCGCGAGCGAAGTGGTCGAAAGTGCGACTATCACCGGCGGCACCGGCCACCCTGTTCAAAAATTTAACAGATTTATCTAAAAGTGCGGAGTAGAAGTCATCTTTGGATGACGAACACGAGAAAGAATCATAGATTTCCAAAACACATCTAGAGAAGTCAATGGCCAAAAGGCTCCAGTGTTCGCCGTCCTTGTGCACTGGTACCAAGACGAGGTCATGAGACAGGAGGTCCACATCTTTAGCCCGTCTGCTAACAGCTGCCGGACCTCGCAGAAGCAGTGTAGAGGCGAAGAAAGAGTTAAAGGTGTACGTCTTCTTGGTAGCAGCAGTCCGGCCGCAGTCGTCCAGTAGCATCGCCATGTAGAAATTGACGACCTCATCGTTGAGCTCCCCGGATCCATCCACGAGTGCGACGATGTCCTTCACGGATACCTGTAAATTGTGCGACGGCAAACGCTCGACGATGATAGTGAGCGACAACTGGGAGCAGATAAGGTCTTCAAGGATTGCTCTTCCATCTCGAGAAAACCCTGTTCAACAAACACCCGCAACACAAAGTAAGCACAAAGGATGGGGCACTATGAGAAAATGTCGTCCTAGCGGCCATGGTCCGACGAACCGCTACTCTGTGGCTCGAAAAGTTCACGCATAACGTCACCCCTACTTGTGGACCTTCCACACACAATTGATTCTAAACTAACACTGTCCTTCTCTATATCCCTGCACGTCTCGAGAAGCAATTCCTTGCAGTCTTTTTCGGCAACACCCGCTGCCTCTGCAACGAGTCTAGCGCGAGGGCCCAATACGGGCACAACAACCCTTCTGGGAGGGCCCCGAGGTTTAGTCTTCCCAGGAGATGAATCGGTGACATTGCGACGACCAGTGCCTCCCGCAACCAGGACTGACAACCTGGCGAGGGCAGGCGGCTCCTGCGACATGTGTGTTTGTYCWCGAGCTCGTCGACCTGTACAAGAAATARCCACCCAGACAGTTCAGCAGGAGATYAACAACACAAYTTCGCAAGAGCAACCAAGCAAACAACACCTCACGAAGCACATCGCCACAATCCAGTTGGCGTCCGCCTGCACACCTCCCCGAAATCGACGAAGCAAACAACACTTCACGAACGGGTTGACGAGCGGGAAGCAAGCAGAGGAAGACAGTGCTTACCAGGCTCAGCTTCCACGTCAACAGAGCCCACCGATGGCAGTCCCAGTGTGATTGGCGCCCCCGTGTGCGTCGACGCGGCGACAACGTGCTCCAAACTCACAGGGAAACTTGACAGGTTCGAGATGTCGGCGTCGATGACCGGAGACGGCATGAATTCATCCCCATCCCGATGGCGGAAATCCTCCACGTTCGCGACAGGCAATTTTAGTCTGTCCGTCTCCGGACAAAAAGCGTCGACGTCCACAATATCGACAGGTTGGGTTTCCTCCATCGCCACTGTGTCGTACTGTGTTGTGATCAAGGTCCCATGGATGTCCAACAACACCTCTCCCCCCCTTAACTTCTTGTCCTCATGCGCTGCGTCTTTATCGTCGTCACTCAAATAGAGAAATCTATCTCCAACAGCGTCAGAGGACTTCTTCAGAACGCCTCTCCCATCGCCTCATCGTGAAGGCCGGAGTACAAGGGGTCGTCGTATGTCGGTTGAACTGGTTGCTCCATCCCGACGTCGCCGAGTGTCAGATCAATCCGGTCGTCGGCGGAATCGTCCTTGTCCAAAGTCGTCGGAAGTCGACAACCATCAAGTCCTTCGACCGTGTGTCTCGGATGAATCCGAATCACGGTCGTCTCCAAACCTGCATCAGGGAGGGACATGTTCACAGAACCCTGGTCCGGATTCATCCAAGCCCCCGCAGTTTCCAACGGCAACAACGTGTCCGCTTTCAACGGAGAGTCGCTTGAGACTGCTAACTCAGCGCGTACCGTCACCAAGCATTCGGCTCCGAGTATGCAGGGCTCGACATTGAAACTGGTCGCTAACTCACCCTCAGTCGGACAGTCTGCCTGCATCTCCTTGTGGACTTCCATGCACAGCATTACGRCGTCCTGACACCGGTCGTCTGTCATGGCAGACACGTCCTCCTGATTCAGATGAATCCGAATTTCRCCGCCAGGGTTTTCGRAAACCTGGACCACCCSTTCGAGTTCCRCARACCGCTGTGCTCTCTCAACGGTACTGGCTTCCCGGTTCGGATTAATCCGAACTTCCTTTTAAGGGGAAACCGAACATTGTTGGAGCTTGTCGCTGCCGGATCCGTGGTATGTTGTCGTCTCGCTTCCCGGAAGGCACTGAGTTCCRRACGACGATGTCGTCTCCGAGGTTCGGATAGATCCGAGACAATCCGCCAACCGTTTTTGGAGCTGAGCAAAGCAAGTTTCATTCTTTGCTACAACTGCCCCRCCAACAACATCGGTATACTGTGTTCCGCTGGTGGAGCTAATCACAGGGTCCTGCTCGCCAGRCCACGTAATCCACCCAGACCTGAAGTCGTTCCCCGTCTCCATTGAGGTGCTGCCTGTCACCGCCAGAACCCCACCATCCTCGTCCCGGTCGACATCGGACCCCTACCCGTCTCCTMTGTGATGCTTTGTCTTCTCTCCGCTGCGAGGCTTTCTCTTCTCCCGGCTGCCCTTTTCCCCCTCTCCGCCGCCTGCGTGCCCCGAAGACCGTTCTTTCGTTAAACGCTGTTCACTTCCACCTCCGGTACCTCGTTGTCCGCCGCCTTCACCATCCCCGTCGCCGTCCTTTCCACGAGACTTGCGGTTCGCAACTCCTGCCGGCGGGGTGACCTCAGGCAACTCCCAACTCACTTGCTTAATTAACGGGCTTGACGGAAGGGCGTAGAACGCTGAGGACACTTCCAGCCATTTATTTGACTGCAAAAACTCGAACAGCGTGTCCCCGTATTCGCACAGAGCAGGGTCGTTCTTACTTCGTTGATTAACCTCACTTAATCTCTCCAATACCGCATCGTAGGCGCGAGATTTGAATATCTCGAGGTCCCAAGGATCGTCATATATCCACCCTCCACTTACGTCCCTCACAGCCACTGCCCATTCGCTGTCGAGAAGGACTGGCTGGAAATGGTCTGGGTGCCACACGATATCATGGCCCCAATCTTCGGCTGTGGAGAAGGTGTGTTTGTCGCCCATGTGGAAGGGAGTCGCTGGAGCCTTGAGATGCGGATGGTCCCGAGGAACTGGATGGCCGGGTCGAAGACGTTCGGGCTGCGGTGTGAGGCGAATAGGCTCCCCCGGCGAACTCCTAAGACGGGACAACCCACCCCTCTTGACAGGCGCTGAAGAGGACACGGGCGTGGGACCGCCCGAGGTAGGTGTAGCGAGAGGTGTCCCCGGTTTGCATACTGATGGCGACTCAGAAACTTGGGCGTTGAAGATGGCCAATTGCCCGTCCAAATCGAAGAGGTCGTCCTCAACGCTCTCCTCCTGCTCAGTCTCGATATTGAAGTCGTCCTCCTCACCGAACGCCAGCTTGTGAAGTCGGCCGGATCGATAGCATCCTCGTTAAAAAAGACATATTCCAGCCTCTTAATGAAGCTCACAGCGCCGGCCCGACTCGCTCCGTTGTAGCCCTGGAGGACCGCAATGGTGACTTCCTTCCGCACCACGTACTGCGGGTCAAATCTCAACCTTGGTTGTTCGCTGTAAAGGAAGGAGTAGACCTGACGCCTTTTCTTCGAAGTCAACTTGAAGAACATGTGCTTGTTCGGGTCATAAACGGGCTCGACCACGACATCGTGGAAATCGCATGGGTAAGCCTTGAACGACACTTCATGGGTGACATACTGCACGGTGTATTCGAGCTGCGTTGTGTCCCCATCCACGGCCAAGACGTGCCTTCCCTGCTGAAGCACTGCTGAAGCAGACTCCACACCACGTGCGCGTGCAGCTTGCCCAAGAACAGCACGGCATCCGCCACACCAGAGAAGAAAAGAAGCTGATTGCACAACTGATTCGGATTCCGTTCGCCATCCTTGTACAGAGCCCCCTATGGGTGAGGTTTCCGATGTCCGCGAAAGTCAAGGACTTGAAAGACTTCTCCTCCACATCCGTGGGTGTCACTTTCTGTTTCCTCCGGAGAGCGGCGTCGTCGTCTTCAGCAACAGCTCCCTCGTACACCGGGTGAGTCAGTAGCCGAGGATCCTCGCCTTTGAAAAGGATGTGCATCACATCCGGCTCCTCCCAGACGCTGTTTCTGAACTGATGCGTCTTCTTCGATGCCGTCTTCCGAACCCACTTCCCCGTGTAGCATCGTGTAGCCCCAAGCGCAGACAARAATGTCATGAAGGAGAGGTTCCACAGGCAGAGGACGAATACCACCAATGTCCTGTAGTCCCGACAAACAAAGCCCAGCAACTCACTCACAGACGCGAATGCCCCAGAGTCCCATTGCGCACGGTCCACATCACCGCACAAGTCGAGCACGCAAGTGTGGGAGCGTAGCTGATGCCCTAGTTTTCCCAGCGCCTCCCTATGATCTATGGCACTCAATGGGTCGACGTTAAACTGGGCCAGTGTCGTCAAGGCGGTTGTCCTTGTCCACATAATGTTGATGCATTCAGCAACGCCCCAAGGGTTTTTTTTGCTTTTGGCGCGATCTCCAGTGATCACCGAAAGGACGACACGCTTCCACTCCGCCGAGAAATGCTGGTCGTTGACGAGGGCCGCCATTCTCTTGATGTTGTTGTCGTGTTGACACCCGAGAAATCAAGGGCACTTGTTGACGTACGTGGTGTCCGTGAAAAATTTCCTGCTCTCGTTCCAAAGCTTGTCGTCGAGACCTCTGTCCTTGAACTCTTCGAACAGTTGATTCTTGGACCTGAAGAACGTGGAGTTGGCATTCCACTCCTGCTTATCCATTTCCTCGTACTCGAACTCCACGTAGTGCCACAGCCCCAGCATAATCCGGTCCATTTTTATTATGTTGACCATCTCCTTGACACTGAACTTCCCCTGCTCGGCCAACTTCTTGCTACTCATTTGAACCCACACGACGTTAAGGTTCAAGACGCCGTTCAACAACCTTTTCTTCTCGCGGTCCGTCARGTCCACCAATTCCTTCCAGCAGTGGACATCCGGCTCAGGAACTTGGACGTAGAAAGTTTTCTCCTCCGCGCCTTTCTTTGGCTTCCCCCTGCCCTTTTTCAATGACGGGTCGTCCACCTTCAAGTACCAGACGTGTTTCTTCAGCCCCTGGCTGTCAGTCACAATGGAGAGTCCTGGCTTGGCCACCTCCTCATGGGTGGGCGGCTTTTCAGTCCAACACCGGTCATCGGAAGCAAGGAGTTTCCCTTTCGACCACTCCTCATAGAACTTCAACCCCAAAGCGAAGACGGAGTCATCTGCCATGGCCAGCGGGAGGTAGTATCGAAGTTTCTCAGCCCATTCCTTTATTTTCTTTGCTTTCGTTGACAGGTTCCAGATAGGCGTGTACGGTGTCTTCTTCATTGCCAACGCCATGAACCGCACCCACTTTCGCACCTCGTCCTGTTTCTTCGATGCATTGCCGAGCACCACACGCGGTTTGCCCTTAATTTTCCAGATATTGCGAATGTCCCGCATAGACAAAACCTGCAAGCGCGGTGGATTCTTCTTGTCTTTCATGTTGTCTTCGCAGCTGGCATGGGCGTAGCCGTCGAACTCGTCGTCAGGGAAGTAGATCGGTTTGAACGGCCATTTACAGAAGTTGTAGTAATCAAACACGGGATGGTCTTTCACCATCATCGCCGCCCTCGCGTTATGCTGTCCACACACAGTATAATACCTGTATTTCTCCGGGCGTGAGTTGTCGAAGTCAGCAGGCAGCACGCGCGCAGCAGGCTCGCCGTTCTCTGGAGGCGCGACGATCGGAGCAAGAACGAAAATGGGCTTCGTGTATCTCATGTCTTTACGTTCGTAGCAGTCGATCATAGCCGACGCGATGGTATCAACGAGGAACTCGTCCAAGGATCGGTGGTTGTACGCGTCTTCCCAGTCTGGAATAGCTAATATTCTTTCGGGATGGATGTGCAACACGACGTCCTTCTACACCCCTGTCTGCATCTCGAGGAAGAACGCATTGTCGAGGTTAAAGGCGTTGAGGTTAATCTCCACGTCGTCATCCCCCTTCCCGTTGTCGCCCTCGTCAGCTTTCTTCCCCCTCGATGATTTCCTCCGTTTCCCGGAAGACTCACCGGCTCTTCGCCGTGTTGACGAGTCTTTTGGCGTTTCATYCCCACCTCCMACCCTTTTCCTCTTCTCAACGGAACCGCCCTCTCGTGTTGTTGGCGTCCGAGCACTCCCTCCTAACTTTCTCTGCCTTTTCAGAGCACCTAGTCCCTCTCGCTCTTCCTTATCCGGCAAGCTGCGTTTGCCTCCCGACAGAGTCTTTTCAGCCGATCTCTCACGGAACAGCCCCTGCTCGGACACCTCCTCCKCACCGGCGACRTTCCCATTTGCTTCTCGTTCCTGGCTCAACTCCGTCTGCAGTTGCGCCGGCAAAGGTCGGGCCCGGCGAGTCGTCTCATCTGACCCACGCACCTCTCGAACCTGCAGACCACCCGCGCGATCTCCAGGCGAAACCTCGGCCACCTGCATGCCACGAACGAACGAACCGATCCTTTCGACCAGACCACAAGGAGTCGTCGATTCTGATCCTTGTCGCAACCGTTCGCCATCGCCGCCTCCATGTGGCGTCGACTCCCCAAGCAAACCTTGGCGGTGAGATACATGCAAGCCCAGTTTCAAAGGAGCACGCGGATGGTCGTCCTCCGAGTCGTCTGACATGCCCACCTCTTGATCAGGAGGCGTAGCTGGCAGGCCACCCTGACCTCCCATCCCCCTTTCAGAGCACTCTCCTCCCGTGAACCCAACAGGACCACTGATCAATCTTCCAGGTCCGACATCCACGGCACTAACAGAGGTACCAGATCTCGCCCAGACCTCGAGGAAGCCTGTGACGTGAACGGCCTTGTCGTGCCCCGGCGCCAGCGGGACAAAGTGAGGCAAAGCCATCGCACGACGACCGTACCCGCCGAACATCCTCCCGGCAACCTTGCATCCCTTTATGATGCCGTCGACGGAACCATTACTTTTGTAATGCTTCTTCAACGTAAACTTGAAATTGTATTTGCCATCGTCAACCCACGGGACGATGGACGCTGCGAGACGCGTTCTGTCGGCGCGAACGACGACGAACAAGAGCGGCCCGCACGGTGGTTGCAACGGGTCGGAGCCGTCCTGGCTCGCCCAGTCCAAATACCAGACACGTTTCCTGTAGTCGCACCACAAGTTTTGAGCACGTCGTTCTTCCTCCCCACCTCCACCTCCCCGACTCGTTTCCCTTGCCGGCGACGACGTTGTCCCTCGACGCTCCTCTCCATGCAGGGCGGAGCCACCAGCGGAGCGGCCTCGTCCGTGCGAAGCCATTCCCTGAAACAAACGGAGGAAATGAACCCACATGTACTCAGAACAGTCAGCACGTCCCAACATCAACCACCATCCAGAGAGAGAGAGAGAGAGAGAGAGAAAAAGAGAGAACAAGAGTGTGACGAAGCCGTAGCTTGACAGAAGAAGGGGACTAAGGAGAACAACAAAGTTGCAAGCATACGAGGAGATCTGAGGAAATCTSACATTTCACCATTAACTTCACTTCAAAACTAGATAAGAACGAAGAACAAGGGGCACAAATCTTCTGCTCTCATATCATGGCCCCAGACCATGCAAAACCTCGTACACACACGCCTTCCTTACTCTCGCACTRGCRATCCCGGCCGAGTCGGAGCCGACACATACCAAATTCCCCACCACAGCGTTTGTCACCCCACCGACTTAGTTTCTATGCCGACTTGCTTAGGTCCCCGCAATCTCCCGCGGCCACCCGACGCACAGCCTTGCAAAACTACACTCAGATCATCAGGACTTTCTGACTCGCCGATCGTCACATCATCTAGCCACTACTTCCCTGAAGCTGGCAGGTGGGTTGAGAGAGAGATTTTCGAAAATGCTTGCGATTTTATAGTTATGAAGGAGGAAGTAGAAGACGGGAGAGACGGAATGAGAACGTCAAGAAGGGGTCAAAGAGAGGGAGGAGGGGAATACTATTGTTTTCCTTGGGGAATGCCATATCAATCCGCCCGAGTTCTTCGCAGCCAATCAGATCACAATGTGAGGAGATTAATCATCCTTACATGCTGCTATCTGATTGCTTGAAGGCTCCTGTACGAGAATGACAACAGGAACGGGCGGTCTGCTCCGGCGGGCGATCGTCGACAACGGTCTGAAATTCTAAAGTTTTTGCACACGGCTCCCCGTTCGGCGATGACATTCATTCGACATGATCGTCGTTTTCTTCCACTGTCGTCACGCCTCGCACGTTCGAGCACAGATCTTCCACTGATTTTCCTTGTCCCGACGACCTTGTTCGTTGAACGGTCCACCGCCGACGTCGGTTGCATCCCCTGCGAACGGCCCTTACATGGCCGACCTGCTGTACAGGCTTCCCCTACTGTTCCTCGTTGTCTTGCTGCTTCTCGCCATTGTCTTGTACCACGTGTGTCTCGTCGGCCTCGTCCCGGTCGCGTCTCGCAGAAGGAGATCTCCCAGGAAGGCCGACAGGATGGCTGGACGACTGCCGAACGGCAGACCGGCAGGCACATCCGGCGGATCTATCAATCGCCAACGGAGTGCGGGGTCRGTGGCGAWGCAGCCGTACGACCCGAGGTTGTATGCGCACCTCCCTTCTCACGAGATTCCTCTGCCGCYGTCGGATGACGAGGGGGGGGAAGCCAGGTCGCCGACTTTGCCGTTGGGAAGCGGTTCTACCCAGGACTGGGCGKCGACGCAATCGTSCGGCGGCAGGGGGGTGGRGACGTCRTGGTCTTACACGTCACTTCTGAACGAGGGGCTGTGCGATGACGACGGCGATGCAGCGGTCGATCTGAGCTTTCATCTGTCGAGCAGTAGCGGAGCAGCCGCAACGCACACTCGGCTCATCAATCCCCACCCGGGTGGGGATTGTGCGGAAAACACGCAAGGCGCTGTCTGAGGCCCACGAGACGGCAGTCTGCCTCAATCGGTTTGCGACGGTGGAGGTGATCGTAATAACTCGTCGCCGAGCGTCGGTGGAGGATTCGGTGCGCATAAACGACCGGACTGGATGCGCTTGTCGCCTGCTACGTGAAGCGGACACGGTGCTACTCGAGGGCGACAGCCGGCGAAGGATTTGATTGGGGCATTTCCGGACGTGCAACGCAACGGCAGGCAGGTCTGGGCAGAATGCAGGCAGGAGTTGCATCGAGGTGAAACGGAGACGATCACCAGAGGGGTGCAACGGCTGCACGCCGACGAAGTGGAAGACGCGGCTGTTGATGAGGGGCAGGGGTGTGGCGACGTGGACGGCGAGGACGGTTGCAAGTCTCACGATTTACCAGACATCAGGCCGCTTGGGAGGAGGGCGACAAGAGGCGGATCCGGTGCGAAGAAGGGCCCCGCCATGAAACCGAGACGGACGAAGAACATGGATGACGATGGCGAGGGCGGCCGGAATTTCTGGTCGGTGGGAGATACGGCGGCGCTTGTGAGGGCGAAAAGGGATCAAGATCTCTATATTGCCGGCCTGGGGACTAGTTTCACCCGCATGAAAACGGCTGCGTGGAAGTGGGAGGACGTGCGGGTAAGGTTGCAGGCGATGGGAGTGACGAGGGATGCCGTCGACTGCGGAAAGAAATGGGACAACTCGATGCAGCAATTCAAGAAGGTGCACAAGTTTCAGAACCTCTCCGGCGGGAAGGACTACTTCACGCTTGCTTCGAGGGAGAGGCGATCGGAGGGCTTCAGCTTCGTCATGGACCGGAGCGTGTACGACGAAATGGAGGCCATGACGAAGGGGGATCGCACAATCCACCCGACAAATTTGGCGGACACTGGGGCGGCGGGGGGGGTTCAAATGCGCGCAGGCGCGACGGGGGATGGGGGCACCATGGGCGCCGATGGTGGAGGGGAGACGACTGACGAGGAACAGGAGTCGACGAAAGACTCGTCATTCAGCGCGGGAAGCGGCGGCGGTTATGGGAAGAGGAAGAACATGCGGCAACAAACCTTTGAAGTCGTCGCCGACGTCATGGAGAAGCAYGGTGCGCTCATGGCGAGCACAATGGACAGCGCCAGCAAGCGGCAGTGCTCTGTGATGTC